AAGAGATTGAGTCCTGCGCAGCAACGATCCACAGTGAGGTATCACTTACCAACACCATCGAGACAACAGATAAGCCCTTGAACTGTTTTCAAAACCAAATAGTTATAGAAGAGGCGCGTTTCCCCTTAAAACGAAGTTTTATTCTTTTTGGAAATAAGAAACGCCACTTGGTCAACTATACTTGCGTCGAATCGCTGCTAGACGAGCTCGAAGATGTAGTTTCACCCAAATGCGTGAATGCTCTCCACTGTAATTTACACACGCTTGCAATGATACAAGATACATTGGTTCGAAGATACCCGGCCACAAAGTTCTGGCACTGCAAAAATCGCGTAGTGGACGTATTGGCAGTTGGAGAAAGAAGGGAAATTCTCACGGCCGAACATAATAGGGCCCATAGGGCTGCACAAGAGAATATTAAGCAGGTACTCTCGGAGTACTACTTTCCAAAGATGGCAAAAATAGCCAATGAGATAGTACTAAATTGCAAAACATGTGCTAGGGCTAAATACGATAGTCACCCCAAAAAACAAGAGATTGGGGAAACTCCGATACCCTCACATGTAGGAGAGATGTTACACATAGACATTTTCTCCACTGACAGGAAATACTTTCTCACTTGCATCGACAAGTTCTCTAAGTTTGCTATTGTCCAACCGGTCCCTTCAAGAACCATCGTGGATCTGAAGCCAGCGTTAATGCAGCTGATGAATTTTTATCCAAAAGCCAGATCCATCTACTGTGACAATGAACCGTCATTGAACTCAGAGACCATCGTGACTATGCTCGCAAACAACTATGGGGTCAGCATTTCAAATGCACCACCATTGCATAGCATCTCGAATGGACAGGTTGAGCGCTTTCACAGCACTCTCTTGGAGCTAGCCAGATGCCTAAAGATCGATAAGGGCATAAGTGACACGGTAGAAGTCATTTTACTGGCTACAACTGAGTACAATAAGTCGATCCATTCGGTCATCGACCAGAGACCAGTTGATGTGGTTCAGGCTCAACCAGATGAGCCACAAGAGAAAATACAAGAAAAGATCAGAAACGCTCAGATGACGCTTAGAGCTAGGGAGAACGCAAATCGGCAGAATAGGGTCTTTGACGTTGGTGACAAAGTTTTGGTCAAGTCCAACCGACGACTCGGAAACAAACTCACACCTTTATGTGATGAGAAGGCCGTGGATGCAGACCTGGGGACCGAGGTCCTCATTAGAGGGAGGGTGGTCCACAAGGACAACCTAAGATGACTCTTGTTTTTTTTTATTTTTAAGCCACTAGGCAAACTTGTATAAGTTAGATATAGTTTTTCAATTTACTTTTAGCCACTTGGCATAGTTTTTATTAAACATTTTTGGTGGTGGGCAAACCTTTTAAAAAAAAAAAAGAGTTGCTAAAAAGAAAGGAAACAACCTTATTTCACAGGTTGGGATCCATAGTACTCCTTTTCTTATCAGTGGCTTCGGCACATGTCACTGACTACTCGCGTGCCAAGTACATTCCCATCATCGACGGCGAAATCTTGATATGGGAAGAATACGCCTACGTTAGGCACTCGGCAAACCTCTCAGAATACGTGCGAATTGTGGAAGAAACGGTCAAATTAATTGACATGTTCCCGCTATCCCACATGAAAAAACTTCTGAGTGTGGACACGGTACATCTACAAGACCTATTGGAGGCGTTAGGCACGCATCATAGAGTCGCCAGAAGTTTAGATTTCCTAGGGTCCATACTGAAGGTTGTGGCGGGTACACCTGATGCCAGGGATTTAGAGCAGACTAGATTTACTGAAAGGCAGCTAGTAAATGCCAACAATAGACAGATAAAAATAAACACTAGAGTTCAAGACCAGCTTAACCAGTTGACATTCACTGTCAATAAGATTCTCAAGATAGCCAAAAACTCACAAGTTGACACTAGCCATTTATTCGAGACACTATTGTCTAGAAATAGAATGCTGGTAATGGAGTTGCAAAATTTAATGCTTGCTATTACTCTTGCAAAGGCTAACATTGTTAGCCCAAACATTTTGGACCACTCAGATTTGAAATCAATTTGGCTAGAGGAACCCACCAACACTCCCATAGGAGATCTTATGTCCGTTGCGTCCGTAAAGGTCCTTCAATCCATTAACACTATACATTTTATAATTAAATTCCCAAAGATTAAACAAGCTTGCAGAAAAATTACGATTTATCCTGTCATTCACAAGAATTTCATATTGCGATTGCCTGACAACGTCATAGCCGAATGCGATGGAAAAACCCACACACTGCAGAGTTGCACCGCTTCACCTGGAGCCACCTTTTGTCGTCTGGCATTAGAGAGTTCATGTGCCAAAGAGCTCCATGCAGGTGGCACGGCACACTGTGAAATCCAGCCGAGCAACCTGGAAATAATCACCCACGTAGATGATGGAATCATCATTCTTAACGACGGGTTCGCAAGGATCCAGGTGGATAACGGCACTGAAATCCAAGTACACGGCACGCATCTCATTACGTTCGGGGACCGAGTCGCGATCAACGGGACTCTGTTTTACAACCACAACAACGTACGCAATAGAGTCCCGGGCATTGCCAACTCTCCCTTGCTGAACATCACTGCCAGCCAAGATGTCCTCAGCCTCCCTTATCTTCATCGTTTAAATGAACGTAATCTGGAGGAGATACAGCAATTCAAGAAAGACGCCGGAACTGATCAAGCTTATCGTGTGGCATTCATCATTGGAGCTATATGCTGTGCTTTAATCTACATTGGCCTCACCCTTTGGCGGTTCATCGACGCAAGGAAGTCTGCGAAGCAATTACGAGAAGTCGTCGCCGGAATTGGGTCGGCCGAGGGCGGCCTTACACTTGAAGGGGGAGTAGTTAACACATAACATTTAATATAGGGTATTTCATAAGTTTATAATCAACCCTCGCTATCGCGTGTTTCGTAAGTTAAGAAACAGCCCTCGCAATTGCGACACTGCATACTTTGTATCAGCGCGCTATAACTGCAATGGTCAGCGGCGGTAACCAGATACTTTTGTTTACTGCAAGAGTTTCCGTTATTGCCTAAGATTGCTGAGTCGGCTTGCCGACCATGACATTGTGGTGTGATGCGAGTTTTGGCTTAGCTTAAGTGAAATATTCTATGTAGCTAAAAATCAGTTTTGTATTGGAGTTTGAAGAATAAACCCGCACTACTCCGGCACACCGCCGTAATCAAATTGTTATATTTCTGATCATTGCTGAGCCACAAGGCCAGTTAATAGAAAAGGGGGTGAAGTCAAACCCTCCAACATAATCATCATAAGAAGATTATAATTACCCGATCAACGCTGGACCTGCCACCGACGCCTAGCTCATCGCTGGACCAGCAACTTATTGATTAAGACTATAAATACCCGATCAACGCTGGACCTGCCACCGACGCCTAGTTCATCGCTGGACCAGCAACATATTAATTTATATATATATATTTATATCATTTAAAAATGATTTGGAAATGGCAATGGAGAGGATCTATAAGGCATATAGATATTAATATTTAATATTTAAGTTCAGAATATATATATATATATAAGTTAAAAGAATCTATTCTAAAATATCACGTTCTGAACTTAAATATTAAATATTTACTGCTGCCATTTCGCAGAGCTTCAGTTAAACTGTTAGTCAGTCAATCAATCAAGGTTTATATATGTAGATCTGATTTAAAATCGAATAAAATGAAATCAGTTGTTAGACAATTTGGCAATCAGTTTGCTATTCATTCAAACGGTCTGTAAATCAGTCAGTCAATCAGTCAACCAGTCCATCACTCAATCAAGCCCAATAAAATCGCCTATTTACAACTATATATAAATAGCTGAGTTCTTTGTGGTGGTCTTAATCTGGATTTATGTGAGTAGCAAATGATACGAAAATATTTCAGGACAGCTTTATTGTGTTTTATGTCGGACGTGTAGCCACGTATATATACATGTCTGTATATATTTATGTATGTTTATAGTATATATATAAATATGTATATGTATGTATGTATGTATCAGATATACATGCAGCAAATTGTGTGTGTGCCATTTGGCTTTGTCTAGTTTAAATACGACAAGCCATAAGAATAAGACACGCACAGAATACACACACACTAACATAAACACACATTATCATACACACACACACGTATAACATACACACACACACACGTACTCTGCGTGTTGACAAGAAAATCAGGAAAAATAAAAAGTATGAAAGGCAAATTTGAGTAAATCAGTAATGAAAATTAGGCAAAATGGCAAACGCAACAACAACAAGAAGAGATCAGGCAAGCAAGAGAGCAGCAGCAACAACAGCTAGAAAAACAACAACAACAACAACAACAACAACAGCAGCAGCAACAACAATGAATTGTCTGGCACAGCAGCTGCCGGTATTTCGTGCTGTTTTTGTTTTCAGTTTCAGTTTTAGTTTATTTTATTTTATTTTATTGCTCTGCTGTGTTATTTTTTTTTTTGCTTCGTTATTTTTTTTTATTTTATTATTTGTTGCTCACATTTTGTGTATATTTTAGTCGTTGCTGTCGTGGTTGTTGTTGTTATTGTTTGGCCAAGATTTCGGCTGGCTTTCGTAGATCATTCGAAATGAAAAGATTTCAATATTGTTTGCGACTCCGTTGCGAGACGATCGTCGCGCGTCGCTCGTATAAAAATATAAATCAAAAACTAAATATAAAAAACAGTTCGCATGCTGATGTGCAGTTGAAGCTTCATACATAATAAATAATAAAAAGAAAACTTAAGAAGGAAAAAGTGAAAATAAAATAAATTGAAACAGAAATCAAATTCTATTGAGCGTGGAGCTAAACAATTACAAATTAAAGTAAAACCCAAACAAAGAACTGCAATAAAACTTAAATTTAAGCAATTTCAATAGGAAGTGCAATTAAACAATTCATTTACAGTTTATTTAAAAAACTCTTTGCTTTTGCGTTTAATTTTCTAACAGCATTTCGTAAAGATTCTTTGCTAATTGTTTGCACGCGGCGGCAATTAATGCAAAGTGAACAAAAAAAAAACGTAATTAACATAAAAAGAATAAAAATTGTGCAAAAACAATTTGTAAATAGTTAAAAACACAACGTTTTATGTTCAAGCTGAAGCAAAAAGTAGGCCAAATATAAATATTACACATACGCCACCGTCACAAGGCATCAACCCAGCTCGCTTGCACTCTCTCTGTCTCTCTCTCTCTCTCGCTCTCTGTCTGCCTTTCGCTCTTATCAATATTGAATGAGCCCTATGAGTGGACTACGTCAACAGCTAAAGGTGAGTAGCATCACATCACAGCAAGTAACTAAACCTTCTCTGTTTTCCTGAACCGCATTGAACCCGAACCGAACTGCTGCAACTGCTAAACAATTGTGTAAATATTTGTGTATATAAATATGGCTATAATATCATATAGAGATGCCATAGTGCAGTCGGGCGCAACTGACTGCATGATACTCTTTCACGAAGCAGAAAATTGCTAAATTTATAACAAAAAGCTATTTTTCATTAATCAAGTTTTACCAATATCCAACTGCATTTAACTCTAAAATAAATATATATAAATGTATATGCTAATATACTCACTTTTCACTTGGCGAACGGGCATCAAGATTGTTTCGCTAAACACTTTTTAATACGTCTGTAAATATTAATTGTTGCCAGAAGGTAAATAATGTTTATATGAATTATGGGCACAAGATTTAATGGCAAGTTTAGCACTTCATAAGAAACGTCACGATTTTCAAGGTGTAAACAATGAAAATTATTTCAACAAAAGAAATCTAGCTAGATGAACAAGATTAAAAGAAAGCGTGTGGCTGGCTACCTATATAAAAACCATAAAACCATATATCAAACAAAAATAATTAAAATAATAACTTGGAGAAAATTACTTTAAAAATACCAAAAATACTAGATAAAAAGTATGAAAATATAAAAAATATTGCATTATAAGAAAGTAAATCAATTAATAGTTTCTTCATATGATCAGATGATATCTTGGGCGCATCATAAGTCTCTGACTTTTGTTGTATTACGAAACATCGTAAACAATATTTTGATAACCAAACCAATCTCCCAAATAAAGTGTAAGTGCATGCCACAAACTGGAATTCAAAATATTACACAAGCTTTTAACAGAAGATTGTATTCCGACTTTATTTCGAATCGTTCTCTCATATCGATTTATGCATTATGTCTATCGAAAATTATAATTATATTTAAAATCATATAAATATTTGACTCGATCTGAGTTTCCCCATCATGAGACCTTTCAAGGCGGCGGCGGCTGCTAAATGTTTTCTTTGGCATTAAAAAAATTCAGTGTTTAAACAAAAATTCACTCGACCAACATAAACAAAAGCGATTATTAGCTTATTGCTGCCAATTTAATCTTTCAAACCGTTCAAGAGCGAAAATAGAATATATTATGGTAAATAATAGGTGATAAATACTGAGTAATAAATAATGCGTAATGCAGAGTGAACAATGAACAATGAATAATGAAAAGCCAAGAATAAAGATTGATTAATGAGTAATGAGTAATGAATAATGAGCAATGAGCAATGATCAATGAGCGATGAGTAATGAGTAATGAATAATGAATAATGAGTAATGAGTAATGAGTAATAAGTAATGAGTAATGAGAAACGAGTAATGAGTAATGAATAATGAGCAATGAGCAATGAAGAATGAGTAATGAACAATGAGTAATGAACAATGAGCAATAAGTAATGAATAATGAATAATGAGTAATCTATAATAAATAATGAATAATGAATAAGGAATAATTAAATATAAATTATCTACATATATATTTAATAATGCATATTACATAATGCTATATTTTCCAAAACTTTCATTATTATTTGAATTTCGTGAAAAACTTATCAGGCAGCTCAAAAATGGTTGAAGAAATTGTTATTTAGAACTCGGGAAATACGTGAGGTAAAGTTGAGAGTGTCTTGGCATACTTAATGCATGTTTATGCCAGCTGCAGCCAGTGCCAAGGCAGTGTCCTATGCATACTGATGAGGCCAGGACTTTACAGCATAATGACTAGAAAATTGTATTGATTTAAAAATTGTAAAGGTCACAGAGAGATCTCATATTTAAAATGTCAGATATTTAAATTGTTAATGATGTATTTAACAGTTTAGACTATTTCATATATTTAAGACATTTGAAATATTTATTTACGGGGAATTAATTTGCTCTCTGCTCGTTTTGTGGTTATTTGTTGTCTGAGTTTTTCGATTTGGGCACAAATAACAAATAGCCCGAATGCTTGACACGAAAATAAAATTGATTCTAAAATGAAAATAGCTTTTACAACACGTAGACCCAAATGGATGCTTAAATAGCGACGTAATAAACGAAATGTCAAAAAAAATAAAATAAAGAAACGCATGCAGCCAAGCACAGTAAATATACGCTACCAGCAACCGCACCCAGCTGCTTGCCAAGTTAATTTCATTTAATTTTAAAATAATTTAATTGACTGCGCCCAAAAGTAGACACAACAATTCGACATGCTACTAACTTTTTCGCTTGACTGTATTTATTGTTTACTACTAACAATTTTTAGTTGAGAATTATTTATTATTTATTATTTTTATTTATTTAATTTTTGTTTTGTCTTCTAGATGTTGGGTACAGCGCTGCTGGGCAAACGTGCCACAAAGGTAGATTAATTAATTATTTTATTCATTTTCTAAAAAGTTTCTTTTATTAATTTTTTTTTGTTTTTAATTAAAGCCTGTTAAAAAGAAACCCTTTACAGAAGTTGAAATAAATGGTAAGTGAAAAAAATTATATATATAAATATATAAATATAATATTGCTAATTATTAGGCAATTGCTTATAAATTATATGTGGCAGCATAATTTATTGCTGTATGTAAATTAAGATATATACATAGATTAATTTATGATTCTGAAACTAATATGAAATATCAATTAAAAGGCATATATCAAAAAAGAAAGCACTGCCTATGCTTGGCTAGACAATCAGAGAAGCGCGCACACTGCGTATACGTAATATATAATATATTTAACATAATTAGAGAAAGAGAGAGAGGGACAGATACATATAAAATATGCTGAGCTGGCTTGCCTCAACAAATGCTCCTATAAATACGAATTGCTAATAGCCCAACAGACAGTCGTTTACATGTCGTATACGTAATGTGGCCATTCGCCTGCATTGCATATTACATTCATAGAGATTCTTGCACTTTTGAACTGAAAGCCTGTCTAAATTTAGACGTGGCCGCCTTTAGCGTGTCGCCAAATGCTAAAATTAATTATTGTTCGCTGCTGCTGCTTTCATTTCTGTCTAATGTGCAGCTAAACAGATCGTTTATTTTGGGCAGCTGAGCTGGCGAACAGGTGCACTGATTGGTAAACAGTTTGCGAGTCGATTGAAGAGCCGCGCAATTCAATTGCCACGGCTGCGTCTTTAATCTAATCAAGACACACGCAAAAAAAATTTAATTTAATTAATTTGCCCACCTTCGCATTTGCTGATAGCGAAATTCAGTTGGAAATCACGTGACACAAATCTTGACGCAAAATAAGCTTAACCCAATCTCTTAAGCCAAGTCCAAACAAGGTGAAATTTATGTCTCCAGCTTAAATGGCTATAGAGTATTCATTTTATCATGAGCCCCCAGATCTTTCTATATTTTTGTCTGCTTGCGTCTTCGCTCGCATTACTCATTTATGATGTTGAGCAAAGAACAAGGCGTGCATGAATTATACGCTTTCTACAGCTGCAAATATTGACCAATTGTTGCTCCGCCGTCTTCTTGGGGTCTTATCAAATTAATATGGCAGCTTGCAAAAATAAACTCAATTGAAAGATACAATTACGAGACCAGGAAATACTCTTTACCGATCTGACTTTTAATCATGCCTTGACTTTAGTTTTAATTTTGATTTTAGCCAACTAAAATGAATGAGAGTTTGAGTGGAGTTCTTTAGTCGACTCTGCTTCTGCCACTGACTCATATACATTCTCTGCTCTCTCTCTCTTTATCTCAAATATCTTGATCTATTGTGGGATAGTGTATGTAGATGTAGGTCTAAGATTTTACTTTAGAAAGTTGATTTATATGACTTCAAGATCACTTTGTTGTTGTATAGAATCACAAAAAGTTTTCTAACTTTCCTTAAGGTTAAGCTTGTATCATATATCTTTATAATAGGTTAATATACTGTAGGCTAGAGTATCATCATAAGAGACTGACAATATTTAAGGTTGCTCCATATTTCATTTATTGAAAGCACAATAATAAGAGAACTTCTTACACCACATATCTCACCCACGTTCCAGCTACAATATTTCTCTAAATTTCTATAATCGAATTTAAACATTTTGACATCTTTCAATTAAAGTTGACAGACAAATTGAGTGATAGCACAGTAATAAAGCAGCCCACTTGTAAATCCCAAGCACTTGTCTTTCCTTTGCATTCATTTTTCATTTTTGGAGTAAGGTCTTACGTATCTCATCGTAATCTCTACAGAATAAAAGCAAATAAAAGACAGCAATCAAAGCATTACGACACCTGAGATGTAAATATATATTTACAGGGTATACTTGCTTAGTTACTTATATTACATTCATATAGTTCATGAAATCAGCGTCGACAGGTTCGAGCTGATAAAAAAATGTTGTGTGTAGGCTCTCGTAATACTATTGCAGTTATCTCCAGGTGCGCCTATCACAAAAAAACAACAAGAACAACAACATAATGAAATATAATACAATATAACATATACTACATAAACATTCCCACTCTCTCGTTCTCGCTCACGCTCTCGGTCAAAAAACAAAAATTTTAGTCATTATCTTTGGAGTTTCGTAGATAAATCGTACAACGGGGCTTTAGCATTTCAACCGGAGCACTTGCAGTTCCAGTACCTAAACCAGAACCAACTGACTATATACGACTGAAATATGATCCGCTCTACAGCCGCATAAAAACCGTTTGATCGAGTGACTGATTGTTAATACAAATAAAACATTAACAAAGTGAGCCAAACACACTTTTTTTGCCAATATGAGCAAAGATGATAAGTGTAAGTAAATAAAACTTAAAGGTATTTTCTAAAAATGTAAACGCGCGTGGACTTCAATCTAAATGCCGATTAAAGCACATACATTTTTTTGATTGATTAAACTGTTGTGTGGGCTCATAATCACTATCGCAGTTTAGTTCAGTGACCAAGTGATTGTGTGCGAAGGTGCTTAGCGCGTTATGTGGCTTTTCTTAATTTATAATGTCATGATTTGAGAGATTGCTAAATTAGCTGAAAGCCTAAAAAGTTGCTAAAAAAAGTCAATCACTTTTCAACTTATTTGGAATAGCTATAGTAGCTGCTAGAGTTGTGAATAAAATAGGTGAACTGTCAACAATTTGTTTAACCCGGACGTCTGCGAATCCCTAGTGAATCCTATCAAATTCCACTTCCCACAAATTTGCCTTACAAATTTTTGTAAGCCAAATTCATTCACAAATATGTTGAAAGATAAGTCTAAGCATTTTCGTATGATGTATTCAAGTTGTTCAATCCTGAATATGGCATTGAGTGTTATGACCATTCTCTGCATCAACACGATCGAGTCTAGGAACTTATGCCTGATCCATATGCCGTCGGAAACCAAGGCAATATAAATTATTATATAAGAATTTTTTATTTAAGGCAAAGCGATAGAACAGTTCAAGATTTATCGCTGTAGCTGAGTTATGTGAGTTCAGTAGGATCGCTGTTCCCAGTCGTCTGCTTCTTCAAGCCGTCACCAGTGCCTAGATACTCAGGGAGGAGTTTAGCATTAAGTTTTGTAGCTCAGTCATCTGAGTACCTCATTTACAAGTCTTTCGTTATTTTAATTAATTTAATTCAAGTTACTCTCTATACATATACATATATATATATAGTTAGACCCGCTTGAAGCTATCTTCAAGCTGCCTCTCTCTCTCTATCAACTTTTCCCTAAATTTTCTTTCACAGTTTATGCAACTCAAATTTGCTTATAGAGAGATCTTACAATAACACCTCTACTTGTGATGTACTCAAGAATTAAGCTGTCATCGTTTTTATATATCTACCTAACTTAAATGTAGTCCCAGTCATTGTAACACTCACATATGTGAGTTAACACATAACTTGAGAAATAGTTTATCTGGCATGCTTCAAGTAGTTAAGCGTATGTTACTTAATGGCTGCAATAACTGCAACCTTGTGGGCCAACAACATTGAACGCTGCTTCAGCGGCAATCCAACACTCTACACAAGGCCTGCAGTTAGCTGATTGACAGTCAAAGGACTAGCTGAGATATCAGTCGGGCTTGATTTAATATTCGATTAATATAATTTTCAAGTGTTTTGTCAGACTTTCAGAAAGTGTAAGCAAATTATTGCAATACTAAAAGAAATCATAAAATGTAATTAAACACTTTGCCCTCGTAAAGCGCGCACAGCACTATTATTGCTAGCGAAATGTCTATCTATCTTGGAGTGTGCAGTCAACACCCTCAACAACACACCCACCCACACACGCACACAGACGCAAAAACATTTGTCAGTTGCCTTTTAATTTGTTGCTGATGGAAAGTGACAAGCGATATAAAAATAATATTGTTGTTGTTGTTGCTGCTCGCCACGCCTCTTTTTATATCTGTTGATTTATGATTACGCAACTTTTTGCGCAACAATTCACTATTTTTTTGGTGCTAGCGATTTTTTTAGACTTCACTAGTTGAGTTACGAGCCAGCCGCCAAAATTGCCAGCCAAATAATTAAAGAAAGAAAAAATTTCAAAATTTCACTCAAAATGAAAAATGAGATAACTTGCCAACGGCAACTGTCAAGCCCGCTTTAAGGCAAATATCTATGTTTTATGTGAATTTAAGCATTTTAATTAAATTTAAATTTTATGTTAATAAAATATTTAATATTTGAATTGTACGTTTAAATACGTTTAAATATATTTATTATTAATTTTTAATACTTGTCAATAAAAATTGATACACAAAATGTGTAAAAATATGCTAAATGCATATTTATATTCACTGCCTTCTCGCATGTCCTTTAGCCGGAATATTGGCCTGGTCAACAGAGCTTTTAGCTAAGTGCACGTTTTAGACATAAAACCCTTTGATATTGCAAGCACTTTAGATTGATTTTTTCCCTCTTCATTTTCATTTTTTTCATATGTGCAAATAGCCCATATAGAACTTTTTAATAGCTGTCCCAAAAAAGGCTAAAATACCTACTTATTTAAAGCGCATCAAAAACGTTAAGTAAGTCGGGCATGACCGCATAATACTTACCCAAAAAAAACTTTTTTACTGAAAAAGTTAATAATAAATATATATATATATATTTATTAATGTAAAAAAAACTTTTTTACTGAAAAAGTTAATAATAAACATATATATATATTTATTAATGTTAAATAAATTTATTTTAATTAATTCATTTTACTATATATATATATATATATATATTCATTTTAAAGTTCGCGAATTTTTCAAGCCCCCCTCGCATTTATGTAAAAGTTCACCCAAATAGAGTCTTAAGGCCAGGCTCAACTGCCTCGCCTGACTTTTCGCACGTGACCTTATTTAGTTGCCCTGCTGCGTGACTCTACCAAAGATATCTGTCTCCCTCGCACACACTTCGGGCATGTGGGAGCTGCAACGAACTGTGCCTTAAATCATTCTGAAAAGGCAACGAAAAGCAGCGTTCTAAGCGAACTTAATTATCGTGTGCCTTTCATTGTGTTTT